GCGTCCCGAGCCGCACGCGCCAAACGCCACCAGTGAAAGTGATTCCCCTGCCCTCCCCTCCCTCCCTGGTCCGCCTCACAAACAAGCCGGCCGCTACCGATGAGTCTGTCGTGCGGTGCGGAGCCGAGAGCCCCACCCGGCCGTGTCGCAGCGCCGCCGTGTCGCAACACACAGACACGCACGCACTCACACGTTGCGCAAGTCGCGCGCACGGCGACACTCCCGCCCCGGCCCGCCCCGCCGGCCCGGGGGGACTTCCCCGCGCGGTGTAAGTGCACCTGCATCAACCTGGAGAGTCTTCGTGATGAGTGACCGATGGGGGGGCTGTATAGCCATCTCCCTCGCACCGCCGACGGCTCGATACCGATACCCATCACTAGGCGCGTGGTGGAGTCACCCTCCGCTCAGCCTCAGAGTTACTTTCCCTCCCTGGCCGGGCCCCGGGCCGAGCCGTCCAGCCCAGGTCGCGCCACAGGCCCCACGGCCAGGGCCCGCCAGGGCCCCGTGCTGCCATCTTCAGGAATGTACTTTCACTACCAGACCAACACCGGCCAGCGAGCCAGCCTCTGGCCGCAAGTGCCGTCCATTCTCAGGATTTACAGGTGGTCCCACAGCAGGGAGAGGCGGTCAGAAATGCCCCCCTCCCCCTCACCAGGACTACCAGGACGCACAAGGTCCCTATCACGGAAGACACACTGTGTCCTCCGTGGTCCCTATGAGATGAGGGAATGACGACCCTAGGAAGCCTCCCCCCCCACCTCTCCTACCCGATGGTCGATGGAGCTTTAGCACTGGCAGGCCTCGCTAACAATTCAAACAAAAAGCACAAGGGAAAGTAAGGAAATGGAGTTTAATCGCCCAATAAATTTGCAACAGTTTTTATTTGAACCAGTGTGCATAACACAAAAAAATGTATTCACCAGGTAACAAAGAAAACAATTTTCACCGGTTCATGGCAAATAACACACAAATTGTTATTGCCAAGTAGGGATATATTCATTGCTCTCTTATCAGACACAGAACAAACAGAGCAAGTGCCCCCAAAATAACCCAAATATTTTAGAAATGGCAATGTAAATCCAAGTAATAATTCCTGATTTTCATTCATGAGAACAAGAATGATATTAACAGATCTGTGTAATTATATTTGAGCCCTTCTATTCCAATTATGCATGATTAACTAATAAAATACACTTTTAAAAAGGTACTCTTAAAAATTTTCAATTTGAATGCTTACATACATTCCAACAACATAAGTATCTCAGTCCACATCGGAATGTGAATTTCAACTAAGTAATAAACATGGAAAGCACAAACACAACCACATTAAAAAAAAATCTTTTCTAAGTGAAAACAAAAGGAAACTTAACTCTGAAATATTTTGAAAAATCTAAGCTCTCTCATTCCTACAACACACAAACTGACTACTGACAAACAACAAACCAATAGAAAAAATGGATAACCAGAAATGCTTGACTTACATACCATGAGCAGTTATAAGATACGTACTTGTACTTCGTGAGTATGTTGATAGCCATTGAGAAACATAAATGCAATTACAGGAATTCACAACTTTAAACAACATAAAGCATTGCAATTTTATCAGCCTCTCATTGTACATCAAGCAACTTTATTCAGATGCTTGGTCTTTTAATAGAAAAACAAGCTAGTTTTTTTGTTACATCACATCACAGAACTTAATTAAGCTCTATAAAAATATGTAGCAAAGTTCCAGATTTTGTGAATGGCAAGTGTCATTAACCTTTTTTTGGGGAAACAATTTTTAATTTTAATTATTTTTATGGGTTATTTATAAGATGTCTGTGTTAATAGTGAAAGAAAGCCGCCTTGAGCAAATATGGCTACAATTTTTACACAAACAATTCGGTTGACTGTACGCTTGCTGACAAGAGATGTAACATTCTACTTCCTGGGCTGCTGAATGTGGTTTGCCTTGTCATGAGTAGGGCGAGCATCATGAGTAGGCTGAGGTTTGTTATGGAAATGCTGAACTGCCTCAGTTGGGAAGTCTGCGTTTCCTCTAACCGGTGCTCCTGATACCAAAGTAGTCTTAGGAGGGCTGAAATAACAATAAATTTAGTTTAAAAGGTATCAGCAGAACAAATTTAATGTATGTTCATTGGCGTTTTCAGATGAAAACTGAAATAAAAATTTATTGAACAAACCTAGTTGAAGCAGTCAGAGAATTGATGTGGTCATCACCTTCCTCTGCATTAACATCCTTCTCTGGCTTTTCCTTAGTAGACTTGTGTTGGGTAATACGCATACCACCTGCTTTAACTGTAAGTAAAAACAGGAGATAAAAAAAGTTGAGCTGACTTATTTTGCAAGCCAAGCAATAAAGCATGATACCATTTATAGCTGATTGTGCGCCAGTGCATGGCAACAAGAAATATAGGCTATTATAGGTAAACGATTTGATTACAGAAGAGAAAATTAAGAATACAGGTAAAATTTGCAAAAGCTGCATTACATCTGCTCAAAGAGCTTAACTAGCTAAGGAGAAGCCGTAAAAACATTATTTTTATGTGCCCGATACCACTGCTAAGCTAACATCGGGTTTTAAATGAGAAAGGCTCAGAATCTGTCAAGCATATAGGAGTAGCAGTTGAAAATATCACAGAGTGTGTTTGTTAGAAATTTTGATGAAAGACAAAGAAAGATAAGGAAAAGTTGGCTGTGAGGGGGCAAATATCAAGTCACACAAGTAACAATTGATTTTTTAAAAGGTTTATGTGACCATGTTGAATTTTGCAACGATTCCAAATGAGAAAAGCTTACGCAAATGTTATGACCATGAGGGCCAGATATCTGTTCAAAACACCTGACAGATGTTCCGTTCACCGCATGTTGCCTACGTGACAAAAGGGAACAAAGCTATGTTTACCCCTACAAAGTGATCTCTTATTTACCTGCCGGGGGATGACCCGCCTTCAGATTGCTCTCGTCGTTTGAAGACATGGTGATTCTTCTTCAAAAGTACGGTTCACAGCCAATAGACACTTTGTCGAAGACTAAATAAAACTCTTTTGAGCGGAATGTGATCACTGTCGTTCAAGTGCGTGTTACTAGTCGCGTCGCGTCGTCGCAGTTGCCACCTCCTCGCCTCGCCTCGCGACTTGACCGCTACGCCCTCTATTGCTTATCGTGTGAGTTAGGGACCACGCCCCCTCCACCACAGAGATTGAGCGCCGCCAACTTCAAATGCGACTCAGGAGAGAATGTATTTTTAAGGGTTTTTATGGCTCAAGGTTTTGATGTTTGAGCGGAGAGGGATATTAATAATAAAAGCCAAACATCAGGTTATAAAATTAAGAGGGCATTTAATACTGAGTTGATAGCGCAGTAGTACTGTTTCATACAACATAAAAAATGACACAATAGCTAAGCCAGAGGACAGCTTACACCAGTACTAAACAGTGAATCAACATTTTTGGACAACAATTTAGTGTTTAAATAAAACAAAGCACAATTTTCACTCATTTTCATTTAGATCTCAATCGTTTGTTTAGACTTTAAGCAAATATCAATGCTTAAAAACGTTGTACAAAACCAACCTTGGATGGTTGGTTTTACTTCCAGTTTAAAAGTACCCATTTTGTTTATTTCTTCTGCACTGAACCATACTTGATCGTTTGATGATTGTTGACAATAAATAAATAAGTTTTGATAGAATTTTTTACAAGACGGGCTGCCCTAACTTAACCAGTTCATGCACTTATTAGTGCAAAATCTTAAAAATCTTGCTTTCTTATACCTAATTCTCTTTATTATTAAAAATAGGAAGAAAGTGAGAATTTCAACAGACTAACTAGCAAATAACAAACTGTACAGCACACAACACATTGTTAAAATACACAAACATTTGGATATGTCATGAACCAAGCAAACTTCACTAAAATAATGCTTTACAGGGCAGAGGGGAAGTTTGATGTAAGTCCACATGCAGCCATTATTATTACTTAGTTCACCATGTTGCTTGCTTACAATTTGGCACATTTTTAAACGACAAATTCAACATCAGTTCTACCCAAAGCTCTCAGGTTGACTTGCTAACACAATAATATAAAATTTTAAAATTTGGCATTGTTATAGCTTTTAGTGCATACATATTTCAAGACAAAATATTTACATTTAATGTTTTTAAAAAGTTTTCCCCAATTTATTGATATAGGTATTAAGATTCAGAAATTCATGGTGTAGGTCAATAGTTAATAGACCTTATAATTAATCACTTGCACTTTCTGAGCTTATAGGTCTAATATCACTACCATCAGTACTTTGAAGACGGCAATTAGTAAGTAGCCTAATTGGGCTACTGGGTTCTTCTGAGTCAGGTACTACTTCACTAACTTTGGTTTCTTTTTCATCTACATTATTCCTTTGCAAACTTTCTGACTCATTTTTCTTTCGTGAAGAAGTGGTACCATCCATTTGTGAAAGTAAACTAAATACGGTCTTCTTGATTGGCTGGGTTGCAACACTTCTCTGGTCATTTGAACTATCAACATCAGATGCAGTTTTATCAACATCGACAGAGTTGTTAAGATGCTTGGAGTCACTAGTGTTAACAGGAGAAGAGTCAAAAGAAGACATAGTTTTACTAGGTAAACTTGTACGGCTAATAGAGGAAGATTGGTCAACTTTCAAAGTTTCAGTATCACTTCCCATTAAAACAGGAGAAGAGGATATTCTATTTATTGCATTAAACTGTTCTTTGACTGCAACCTGTGCACAATTAGGACCAACTCCAGATAGTTTAGGTATACTTCCAGGGGCAACACTGCAAGTGCTGCCTCTTCGCCCTTCACTACCAGACAATTCTTCTAACACCATAGAGAGTGGAGGAGGCATCTGGTTTTCCACAATTTTGACACTTCCAGTCATGATCAGTCCCTCACCAGGTGGGAGAGATACAGAAATACTTCGAGTGTGAGAACTATCTGATCCCAAGCTAGCAACATGCGATAATTTTAAGATGGTAACAGCTTCTTCATAAATCTGCAATAAAATATTATAGCACTTAAAAACTGATTTGAGGTTAAGTATAAAACTCTGAAATAACAACAATGAAGTATGCAAACTAACCTCAGGAAATGAAACATCCAGGAAAATTTCCTGAAGAAAGCGCCTTGCCTGAAGTCGATAGTTGCTAGATGCCAGACTTTCACTTAGATCTGAATATAAACATATGTCATCCAGCATTTGAGGATGTTTCTGCTTTGAGCTGCAATTTAAAAAAAACAACAACAAGAATTTCCTATAGTAGAAATATTTTATGAGAAAAAAGAAACAGTCACAAGAAAATAGAAGTGATATCTTACTGAAGCAAAGATTGCTGGCATGGTTTAATCCAAATTGGATTACTCATACATTCAACATGCCTCATTACTTCTGAGCGAAGAATTGTTTTATTCTTCGTCCCAATTAAAGTATCTTGCACTGATCCAACTGTCTCTGTGCTTGTGGTGCTCTCAAGACTTTCGCCAAATGCACCCCCACTAATAGTTCGCTGCCGAGAAGGACTTTCGTTGCCTTCAGCAGTACCGCAGCTGCTCTCTGTTTCTGTAATTGAGGAAGAGACATATGTATGTATTAGTAATCTTCATTAACAACATAAACAGAATACGAACAATTTTCAAAATAAACTTTTGCTGAGAAGTATTAATTGTTACCTGTCCTTGTCCTGACAGGATAAGAACCTGCGGAAATTTTTCGTTCCCGATGGGTGGATGCAAGGGGCTGCCCCGCCTTCCATGAGCAGGCAAGACAGGAGGATACCTGGTGTAGGTAAGGCCTCACCTCTGTATACGAGTATGTAACCCCTGAGGCACGCTCACGCCGTCGGCGGGCATGGGACCGGCTCTGGGCACTCGGGCCTTTCTGGCTAACGGCACTACGAGCACTACGTCGTGATGCCCTGCCAGTGCCACGATCTCTGTCTAATCCTTTTCCGACTCCCTCCTCACTCTCCACTTCCTCTTCAGATTCAGTGAACAGGTGAACATTCTGCACAAGCTCAGGTCCATCTGCAAAGATATTAAATAAGATTTTAAATTGAAATAAAATGGGTATGAAAGATATATATGAGCAAAAGGGTTGGTATAGGGAAAATAGAGAGATCATGCAGCTATATATACCTGTTTCCTGTGTGCAATCAATTTCACTAGTTGATGCTGATGTACCTCTCTTATTATCTTCCTTTCGAGTTTCTAAATTATCATAATCAACATTAAAAGTCAGAGGAACACTTCCATCAACATTAGCTTTTTCAGAAGTATTTGAAGGGAAAATGGATGACGATGACAGTGGCAATGAAATACCCATGTAACATTGGTTTGAATCTTTGGTAAGATTCGATACACCTGTTTTATTTGGAGAGCTAGTTGCTGTAGGAGTCTCAACAAAAATCTCATCTGTTATTTTGGAATCAAAGTTTGAAAATCTGTGAAAAGAGAAAGGGCACTAAGTTTCCACGGTCACACTAATTATGAGACTACAGATGAAAGATTTATCTGAAAAGCTACTTACGCAGGATGTGTGGATTGCCTGTCCAAACTTCTGACTTTAAGGCGACGCATAGAACTAAGTAAGGATGAAGATTGGCGCTCTCGAGTAAGTGACGAAGATGATAAGCCAGTGAGATCATCCAAGAAATTGTCAGCAGCACCAAATGAATGGTTGAGATTAGATGACAAATTGGGAAGTTGTGGTCTTTGCTGATGTTGAAGAGAACGAAGAGTTGCATAGCCAGCAACATCTTGTTGGCTTAGACGAGAGCTCAGCGCAGAGTGAGTTGGTGATAGATGATCTGATGTTATACTCCCTACAGGATTTTAATTGAGTTATAATTTCCAAAACTGGCGAGTGCACTCAAGAAGAAGGAAATTCTTTAGTATTCAGTACCTTGAAAAGATGTTCTTCTTACACGGTCTTCCTGCTGTAATGTTGTAATGGGAGTGACAAGTGATGTGGGAGCACCACTTAAAGTAGCTGATTTAAGAGTATTCAAAGATGTTGAGCTTGGAATAGGGCTGAGGGTTTGAATCCGATCACTGAAAATACAGAAATTTGGCTTTATCAATGAACTTATAAAAAAATATAATGATTTGAAACAGAAATTTACAGGAAGTTTTGTGAGTTCCAAAAGATAAATGAACATACGTTGTTTGCTTTCCACCAGTTGAATCATATGAACAAACACCACTATCTGAACAGCTATTTGATCTGCTCTTCATATCATCTGTAGATTTTGGAGGATGTACTAAACTAGACACATCTCCACTCATACCAACTGCCTGTGTTTCTGCTCCAACTGTGCCTGTTGAAGATGATGTTAAAAATGAAGAAACAGGAGAGCCTGCAACCCGCTGCAACTGTGGACTTCCAGACTGGCTTTCACTTAGACTACGTTGTTGTTTTCTTGGCCATTCAGGAGGCGCCCTCTGATGAGGCAATGTACGGGCTTTACGGCTGGGTGGGTCTCCTGGAAAAGAAAATTAAAAATAAAATCTAAAAATAATAGAGACTATGGCCAAACATCAGATATGGGTATTAATTTGTTAGGAGACCCAGCTTCTACACTACATCACAATTTAATTATTACCTGGAGATGCTTCGTTCCAAAACTGAACACCATTGTTAGAAAAAGAGTCATCCCACAATGAGCTATCGTCTTCTTCCGTGACAACACTACTTTCAGTTTCAGTCTCATCAGCAAGAAACAGTGTTTGAGTGGTAATGTCCTCTTTGTTTGGTACCAAAGTTGATGAGTGGAGATTTTCATGTATCACTGGCCAGCGTTCATGCCGGTGATGCCTTGTACTCACCCAATCTAATGTGACAGAAGGAATACTTAAAATATGTCCAATACTACACTTATCATTAATTAGCTTAACATTTAATCAACCACATACACCCTACCTAGCATCGATAGGAGATCTGCACCAGGGCCTGTTGTGGCCACTAAACCAATAGAGTAGAATGCTGTTGAACGAATAGAATACACAGGGCAGCTCTGGGCTATGGTAACTATGGACTGAATGACTTCTTCATTTGCAAGCCATTCTAAACCTGATGAGCTTGTTGCTATGTGACCAGCAGCCCACAATGCTGCTTTCAGCTCCAAGATTTCTGTCTCTGAGCTGCATTGTTGATCTTTCACAATCTAAACAGAATGAGCACCAATAGTAATACAAACACACTACGTCCTTAGGAATAGAAGTAAAATTTTAAAACCATACCTTCAGAAGACAATGTACCCTTGAATCATTGAACAGCAGTTTACAGCCTTGCGGCAGTTGGGCTAGTTGACCATAGAGGTGGGGAGGTACAAACACATCTTTTACAACGTGTTTAGCTGAGCTAACACGGCGACTGTAATGACCATCTTCACCCCTTTGATGCAAGGACAAAGCATCATGAATCTCACCCTCCACAAATCGAACATACCTATCAAAAAATATAAGTAAATTATATAAGGAACTGATCTTGGGTACAATATACTTTACTGTCGGTACAAACCTGTAGTTGTACTCAGCAGCCCAATAGTCCATTTGACTTGACAGAAATCCTTTCTGCTGCAGATAAGAGAAGCCACATGGCACAGTAGCCAACCGAATTTCAATGAGCAGCTCTCTCTCTACATCAGAATTGAACTTGGGTTGCAGTTCTGCAAGGGACTGCAGAAATATCTGAAAGTTAAAACAGACAAAATAAGATCCATAAAATTTTTCAATGAAGTATTTCATAGCCTTCAAGACTTTCAAATAAGCCTCTTACATGTTCATCACATGCTTCATCAAGCATGTTGAGGGCAGCAAGGCGCACTGATTTACTTTTATCACTTATTTGATTGATAACAAGTGGTAAACCCCACTCATGAAAATTGGGAACCCTTGCTCGGAGTAGCACCACCAAAAACTGGGTTGCATAGAGGCGTGATGAGTCAGAACCAGACTTCAGTATTGTCTCCAATATCTCCCTAGGCTCTCCAGGAACAGCATAATCAAGACTTGATACAACAAGTTTGATATAACAGTCATGATTTGTGTTTGTGACAAGCCGGTGAATGAGACTTAAAAGTCCAGATGACTCTAAAATACGTAAGCCACTTCTACTTTGACATAAATGACCAATGAATAGAAAATAATCTTGACAAAGAGAGTTGTTCATATGCTGTGGACTAAAGAGACAGTCATGAGCACTTTTGGCAGAGAGTATTTCTTCAATTTGAGAATGGATATCCCCCAACAATTCTCCTGTGAGTCTTGAACCTTCAACTTCTTCGGCTTGCAATAAAGCATCAAAGAGCTCAATTCCAGCTAAGGTATATGTATTGGTTTGCTTCCTGTTGCCACCCAACTCAACACGGCTAAATCGGTTACTAGATGGCTTGTAGAAATGCACAAGTCTTTTCACAAAAGTTCTATGGTTTGAATCCTCAAGCTTCAAAAGTGCATCACTTTTGCCCTTAAGGATGGATCTCACAATCTCCCAGTTCCATGAAAAACCATCTTTGTTTGTCAGGACAAGCGACTCTTTCAATGCTTCTTCAGATTCTTTGGCCAACATCTGTTGGAGTTTTGATTTGGAATACCTTCCTCGACTTGCAATGCTAAGAACACTTTCACTGAAACGCCGGCGACGTCTTGAGCCGCCGGTCTTCACTGCCGTAGCTTTGATTTGATTGCCTGTAAGAAATGCATGAATATGAATAAAGCAATATTCCACAGGATTAATCTATAGGCTTGAATTTTGGGGTACCATGTATTTTTTTGAAGTGTATCTTTAGGTGAATTTCACAGTCAGTTTTTAATTTTGACAAATTTTGGTAGCATATTGCAAGAATTTTACAAATGGTTAAAGCTTGCACTTTGGTAAATTTCAATGAATTTTTCAGTAAATTTTAATCAAACTTTGAGTGAGAAAATTTTCAGAAGCTTATTTCCTCTTGACAAAATTAAGACTATCAACAAAACATACATAGCATACCATGCACTTGCTCAGATTTAAACAAATAGCCTCCAGAAAAGCCTACCTGTTGAGTCCGAAGACTGTGATTCCTCTCGGGCTGCTTTTCTTGCTTCTGAATGAAAGCGACTAGATGAATTTAGAATTTGAGCTAAAAATAAGGATGCTGGTGCTGGTCGGCGTTTCAAAAGCCTGTGCAGCTGATTCATAGCTGCTACAGATGCTTGGGCCTGTTGTTGATTAGCCTTGGTAACAGTTAATGCAGGTTGAACAGACGCCAAAATTTTATTATATGTCTGTTTTGCACAGGATGAATGGTGTGCTGATGCTGGGAGATGATCAAGAGGTGAAGCACCCACAGCGTACCACATAAGGGAGGGCAAGGGTGGAGTGATATTGCAGCATTCAGGTGGTAAAAGTACATGGATCATGTGCAAAAGTTGACCTGCAGATGAAAACAAGGTTAAGAAAGAGGAAAGTAAGGACATCAAGACTGCTGTAGGTGTTAACCAGTTACATAATACTGACCGAGTAGAATAGTTGCCCGAACAGAGAGAAAGGTATCTTCGGCAACAATAACTTCTACAATAGCAGCAAGGAGGCCAGCATCCAGGAAAGCTTGAAGGAGTGCTGATAAGTGGTTTACTACAATGTTAGGCCTGCAAGCACATAGTCATTAAGAGGTAATATTTTAGTACTCAAATTAAAAGTGATCTTTTACCAGTATACACATATACAATAGATACAATACATACCTATACTTAGCAAGGTGAGAGAGAACACTTCTTCCTTCAGCAGCTACAAAACCCTCATTAAGGCGCCAGGAGTCCTGAGGATGGGAGGGATCAACTGCATCGAGGGCAACACTGAGCTCATCTGTCCATTCAGGCAATGGAATACCAAGAAGGTCATATAGCAGATCAAGAACAGCTTTCTGTATGTAAAAAATAAAAATTGAGAAAATCTGAACGAACTTTGAATACAGTTAAGCTTATAGATATAAATATAACAAGGACTCTACTGACCCTGATCTCAAGCTGCTTCAGATAAAGTATATCAACAAGAGCACGTAGGCCAGAATTCCCAGTTGGATTGCAAAAATGTAACAAGCCTGGCCATGATCTTAAAATTGACAAGAGGGCAACATGGCTAGAGTAAAGTCTTAGTTCTCTTTCACGTATTTCTCTTTCACCTCTGTAGAAGAAAAAAAATGTTTGAAGAGTTTCATATTTTGCAATTTACATGACAGAGAAGTAGGGAATAAAAAAACTACATACTTTGCTTTGTCTGAGTTTGCAACTGCCCCTTTGCGAAAATAAAAGTCACAATATGGCTCAGCAAAGCATTGAAGATCTAAACGAGCCGCTGAACGGGTTTCTGGTCTATCAAGTAAATAGAGTAAGCAGCCAACCAGTGACTCAGAAACTCGAGGAAGGCCACATTCAAGAATATTGCGGACCAATGGTGTTATTCCTCCACACTTAATGAATATAAGTGGATTCAGTACACCTAAATTTAATTAAAAAAGTATTACATAAGAGCTTCCACACAAGCAAAAGGCTTTACTTTAGAAAGATATCATAAAACTTACAAATCTCACATAGCACAGCGAGTGAGGCACGCAACATCCGGTCATTTGCTTCTGCAGCTCCATTAGCAAGAGACACTAGGCAACGAAGTAATGAGACAGGGAAATGTGAAGGACTTATGGCAAGAATTCTGCGCATGATACGAATAGCTTGAATTCTTTCCAAATCATTTCGAAGAGCAAGATCAAGGCTCCTGAAAAAACCACAACACGATGGAATAAAAAAAAAATTCGGGGAAATGAAAGCTTTCTAACAAAGCATCAAAAAGTATAGTAATACCTAGCTATTAGACTTGGGATTTGCAGTTGTATCAAAACACGAATGTCATTTTCATCTTGAAGGATGTAGCGGATTGCACGCAAACCAGCAGCTCGGACTTGAGTTCCCTCATGTACCAATGATGTTCTCAAACTAAAAAACATGGACATATTGGATAAGAATTTTTGAAAAACATATCATCTGCTAAAGCGAAACTGCTTCAGCAGTAATAACAGCAAATGGAATCCCTCAACAACTTACCAACAAAGAAGTTCTTCTTTACTGTAGCCTAGTTGAGCATGACTGATGCTTGGTTGACTGACTAGTTTAACAAACGCATTTAAATAGCCTAACCGTTTTCCTTCCACAACTCCATGCCTCTGGCAGACATGGTTAAATATTTCTTGGATATTCTCTTTAGGATCTGAAAAATGACAAAACAAGTTAGAATGAACAAACTCATTAATGTTTAGGTTGACACTCAAAGTAGATCGTTCTCGTTGGTTGGTTCAGCCTTGCTGATACAGTATTTATGACAGAAATGTATCAATTCTTTGTGGAATAAGAGGTATATTTGCAAAAAGAAATTATCATCAGATGAAAAGACTATACAAAAATATTCTCACTATTTGAAGGAAATATGAAAATACAGAGGCAAAGGACTGATGCTAATAGCAGAAGGAAATACAAATCCTTGCACTTTTGCAGGTGTGAAGGCAAGTGACCAGCATACAAAAATAACAATAAAACGTCGAGGATATAGAAAATACAACAACCGGTAGCGAAATCGTGGCTTTTAATTACATAAATCGTGTTTATTGATAGAAGTGCCGTTACCTTTGGACAGGTCCAGTTGGACGTTCTCCTCATCTCCGTCATGGCGACCTGAGAAAGTATGACATGAAACGTGTGGATATATTCTATATTTTCTGAAAAAAAATATGTCCAAATATGACACGTGAAATTGCAATTACCACGGTTAAATCGGCCTGAACGTAGGCTTCTTCCCCGAATCATCCAGCTCGCGATCGCCATTTTCCATTTTACTGAGCGTCTTTTGTTTATTGGTGGCGTTCGTGACAGTTCCCCTGCGTTATTTGCAGTTCGTGGTTAGGTTATGGTTTTTGTTTACGTTTCAGTGCAGCTAGTGGGGTTTGTGTTGTTTTGACACAGAGGTTGTGAACGATTTAGAGAATGGGAGGGTGGATTTTATAAAGCTTCTAGATGCTGCAAATATGTCATTTAGTTCAAATGCCAACGTTTTATTTTTATGTATCGTTGTGTCGTCAGCTCTTTTCTATTATCTTGGGCTATCATTATTTTCATCCACCATAGCTAAAGTCAGTCATTCCCATTTAAAAAATGAAATACCAAACCACAATATAAGTTTTAATAAAAATGAAATCAAAAGTACACATAGATCTGAGACGTAAGTATTTTAATTTACCCTTGTAATTTTTTTGGTTCTCTACCATCGTCAGTTTTTGAAGTCTCTCTCTCTCGACCCTCTCCTTTATCAAGAACAATATGATTAATGCCAATGCTTTTTCCAGAATATCAGAAATTGCTGTTGCGGTTGTTGCCTGTGGAGACCGTTTGGATGAGACTCTGACCATGCTCAAGTCTGCCCTCATATTTACTGAATGGTGGCAGCCACTGAGATTTATTATATTTTCTGATGAAAATTTAACTTCAAGTTTCAAAGAAAAGGTAGGCCAGTAAATCGCTAAATTTGGTTAATACACTAATACACTTGGGAACTGTCAAAATTCTCAATTGGACTGACAGTGTGCCAGTTCCTTTTCTGTCTTTCCGTACAAGGAGAGAGAGCAGAAAGGAACTGGACTTGAATTTGGGCACCATGTTAATATTTTGGTATCAGTTTTGCACCCCTGCCCCTGTCAGACCTAATATAAACATGTATTTTTTCCCAGCTTACTGAATGGAAATCACTGACAAATAATTCATTGGAATTTGAACTGCATCCAATTACATTTCCACAAAAAGGCAAGGCTGAAGAATGGAGGAAACTGTTCAAGCCGTGTGCTTCACAACGACTCTTTTTGCCTGTAAGATACATCAGCCTTGATTGCTATTAATTTTTTTTTATTGAGACATAGTGACTAAATGTATGTTCCATTGAATTTCAGGGAATTTTGAGCAAAACAGACTCTATTTTATATGTTGATACTGATACATTATTCCTATCTCCTCTTAAAAATATATGGAATCACTTTAGCGCAATGAACACATCTCAGATGGCAGCCCTTGCATTTGAACATGAAGACCCTAACACAGGGTGGTACAACAGATTTGCCCACCATCCATTTTATGGGCCATATGGTAACTTTAAAATTAAAATCTAATACCAATAACATACGTAAAAACATGAAACACCTTTAGTTATGATTTTCTTTGTCACTCTTATTTTGTAGGCGTCAATTCTGGTGTCATGCTTATGAATCTCACAAGGATGCGTGAATTTCATTGGGAGGATTATGTCATTCCAGTTTACAAAGAATTTAAGCTAAAAATTACCTGGGGTGACCAGGATATAATCAACATAATTTTCCACTACTACCCTCGTATGTATTGTGGATTGTACTTTTTTTTAAAAATAGGAGATTTGATTCCCCTGACGTAAATGTTGTTCTTTTTTTTTTTTTTTTTTCTATTCCAGATAAGCTGTACATTTACCCTTGCAGATTTAATTATAGATCTGATCATTGTATGTATATGAGTGTATGTTCAAGTGCAGAAAAAGAAGGTGTCGCTGTTCTGCATGGTTCCCGTGGAACATTTCATTCAGAAAAGCAGCCTGCATTTAGGGCTGTATACCGTGCTTTTGAAGAGGTATATATCACATATGAAGCAGAAAAAAAGTTTATCTCCTTATTCTAATCACTTATTTAAAAATATCTGTATGAATTAATATAATGCTTTGACATGATATACATGTTTGAATGTTCCAGTATCAATTAGGCACAGACCTGATCCAGCATCTGTTAAAGCCCATCAAAGCATATTTAGAAGAAACAGTACATACACACTGTGGACAGATCCATTCCATTTTTACCAAAGCTATGGACAAATACCTTCCTCAAATTACTTCATGAACTAAACATGGAAACACTTCAAATGGCTGTGTGCCATTCTTAGGTAAAGTACATTAAAAATACTTTCTTTGGCTTCCAAGTCTTTTAATTGTAGAATTTTGGGTAACTTTCAAATTACTCTTTTGTTTGCTTTATTTTGCATAATTATTGAGTGGTAGCAGTGGTGGTTATGAACAAAGACTTATAGAACTTCCTCAACTAATTCTGTCACAGATGAACCATCTGCTCGCTTATTATGATATGTTGGAGTGTGATCAATTCTTTTTCCTCTGAAGTTGATTGCAAATGGAAGCAAGGATGGCTGTCTCAAGTGAATTCCACGGGCATATGGAGTCCACACTTTAAAACACATTTCCATATATTCAGCTGCAGAGATGGAAACCCAACCTGTAGATAATTAAAACAGAAAATGTATTATATTTTTACATTAAAACTTCTATATTACCGTATATCATGTCTTTTCTCTGAAAGTACCTGCTGAAGAAAGGACAATATCAGCACAACTCTCTTTCCATCCAGATCCCTTAATATTAATTAGCTCATCACTTGCTTGAAGTCCTGGCCAGTCAGCAAGCCTTTTTGAGCCTCCACAGGGTACAGCCATTAGTTCAGATCCCAGGAATTTCGTGTATACATCTTCTGCCTCGTGTGTTTGGACAATAGAAACAGGAAGAGCGCTTGAGGAAAAAACTACAATTCTGAAAAAAAGGATGGAAAAAATGTCATATGAAGTATGATGGTGTACTCATGTAGTTGTAACATTTCAGTAAATACAGTATGGAAATATACCTTGCTGAATTGTCATTAGTAGCACTTAGCAAATCTATGCGGCCCAAGCCTGCCAGAAAAACACTTCTTCCAGGCTTCAGTATAAAAAAGCGGGGAACTATAGGTGTCTTTGGTAATGTTTTCTGTAGCTCTTCTGTAGTGAGAATATTTAATATCTAGACCAAACAAAAAATAATGACGTAAGTTCATGATTGGTTGTTTCTGTGAACGCACCGGTGTAGGCCCCTGGCGTAAGGCGCCATGGCCTCTGTGGGTAGGCAAACCCACCCAATCCCGACGCATACAACGAAACACATAGTGAGGAGTAGATTAGTACGAAAGTATACCTGATCTGGATGCATCACACCAGGGGTGTCAAAACACCAACGTCCAGCCACAAAATCTTTGGAGTTTTCATTATACTGAGCCTTTCTTACATCTAGTGGAAGCGCTCTATTTTCCAGATCATGTTTTATGAAAGTTCTACCAACATGCTCTGAAGGGATATAAAAAGAATCACTGAACATGTTAAATTTTATCATAGATGCATACTCATGAGGCTTTTCATGAATAAAAGTGCGTGTATGATGCAAACTCACGGATAAGAGATGGTAAGTTATACATTCTATTTCGTTTCAGTTGTTCCTTCTGGAGAGATCTCTCTTGTTTTTGTAGGCTTGCTTCAGAACTAAGCCTTTTTTTCCTTTCAGCCAACCTCCATCCCTCGGGTCTTAAGATAGGGAACTTTAAACAGAATAAGATTGGTTATTGAAAATGCTGTGAGGTACACTTGAAGTTAAATTTATTACAAACCTTGAGTAAGTTGAGGGTTGTTCCAGGCCAAATTGATGTTGTTGCTCTCTGAACAACATCAATAGCTAGAGTTTTGCAGAAGTCTGATTGTAACAATTGGTTAAATAGGGAGGATTTTCCAACATTTGTACAACCAATCAAGTATACATCACCTTTTAGAAAAATTTGTTAGAGCAAAAATTCCAAGAACAGAGAGTTACTTTTTTAAAAGTTAGAACTTATGTTGGAACTTACTCTTATACTCCCATAATTGATGCATTTGTGTTATAAGATCTTCCACTCCAAACCCTGTCTGTGCACTGATGAGAGCCACATGCTTGATATTTGCCTTGGCAATACCCATCTTTTCAACATATGCTTGCAGTGTATTTTTGATATGTTTAAGGTACCCATCGTGGTCTCCAGGAATCAAATCAACTTTATTCCCAACAACTATGACTGGCCTTTTTTCACCTAAAATAATACGGCACATTAGATAAAATAGTAATCTAAATATGAAATTGTTAAATTACAACTATGAAGTCTCACCAATAATTCCCATTATTTCAGGCCAGATGCTACACGGGAAATCCAGTAGATCAACTAGTAGAACTGCAATTGCACGCTCGTTTTTAATACGGGAGATAATTTTTGGATAATCCTCCGGTGTAACATTGACATCAAGGGCAATATTGAATTTCTTCAAAAAATGGCATCTTTGGCATATCATAGACTTTAAATCTGTAACTTTTCTTTTGCCAAACAGTTCTTTAGGAAGATAGCCAGGAATAGAATGATCCTTTAAAATAAAAATAATTGATGGATAAGTAGTTTTTAATTACGAAAATAATTGACCATGTATTTCTCATCAGATTACCTACTTGACAGTGCAGTAAAGCACCACACCCGCCACAAGGAATCTTGCTAACAGGTTCATTTGGATCAGATGTTCCAAAATACGAATTTCTTCCATCCAATGACTTTTCATCATAGAATTCATAATCACTCATCCACAGACTCACTGAAACAAAGAGAGACCTCAGTTCATAATGCCCGTTCTACAATCAGCCATAAGTCGTAAACCGTAAGGCCATTTGTTGAGCGCAGTGTTAGTAAAATGCACAACTGCCAACAGGTGTGTTACAGCTTACAACTTGTCTTACAACATTGACAACATTTGGGAGCAGAAAACTGTTTTGAAACAGTCTGTAGCATCCGAACCAAAAATCCAAAAATTTGTTAACACATGTTACAACAGCCCTTATGGCTTATTGTACACCAGTCGTCAACTATTTCTACTGTTCAATTAAAACGAGTTTGAGTATTGAAAAAGCATACCTCTCTTTTTCTTTCTCTCTAATTCTTGCCGTCTCCTATTGGGCCTTTTTCTTGAATTATCATTGATTGAGGAGTTTGCCAATTGATTGTCACTTAATGAATTTTCAATAGAATATGGGTACTGTGGTTCCATCTCATCCGCAATCACAGGCTTTTCAGTTTCATTTTCTATTTTTTGTACAGGATCATCGAGAAGTTTGAGTGTGAGGGGACGGGAAGTTCTTCCTTCCCCAGCCAACATTTTCTCAAAATACTCTCTTTTTTTCCTATTCTCAATACTTTTTCTAACAACAAACGGTAGAGTGGGATCATTTTCCCAAAGAAAGGTGTTAAATATTCTTTTTTTGAGATCAGCATCCACCCTAGCAATGTCGGCTTTGACGTCAGAATCAACACTTTCATTTAAACTGCTCAAGCAGAGTGTATTTTTACTCAAGTAACATCTACTTGCCGTATCTATTTGGTTTATTTTGCGAAGAAGCAAACTTTTAGCATATGATCTCCCCACGCCGTACAGGAACTTTGAATTATAGTACATTTTACAGTATTTATAAAATGATATTATTTCTGAAAGCTATCCTTGCACAAAATGAAGTTAACACATTCTAATTTGAAGTTGAATGTTGCCTAATTTATTTCTCAAACTAGAAATTGAATCGTTCAAATATGAGTGAAAGATAGGGTTAGAGCAAACCAAACCACAACCACAAACAAAACAAATATATGCTGCTGATGTTATTCTCATACCAGTTAGAGAAGTATTGAATTTCTCATATCAAACAAAACATTGTGGGCAGCGCCAAGTAGAGGGAACATTCAAAAATGAAAAGCTGAGACACTAGGAAGGACCTTTTGGAAAGTCTAGTGGCTCCGCCATCAAATATTCTAGTTCTAGTTCTAGTCTCTCGTGGTAAGTTCAGCCTAGCGAGGATCACTAATCCTCGCTAGGTTCAGCCATTTTCCAGCTTTCATGGCTTTACTCCATGATTTGACTTCCACTCAGTGCACACCCGTTTCTGCAGTGAGGTCAGCCTGTAGCCGTGGGACTCGAAGGCCAATGTAAAAATATATATGCTCCTGAGCTGTGGCTTGTGTTGGTATGGTACGGTACGCCGGCGTTGAGAGCGCCCGCAACGTACTGGGTAGGCCAACCCGGCAGGCAGCTACGTGGAGCCGTCGGCCTGCTCTGCGAGTGTCCGCTAGTACGCCCTATCGTTTCGGCCCATTAAGCACGGCTACAGGCTCCACGCCCCGCAAAATGTAACTAAATGCAATCTCGCTTAAAAGCACACCACTATAGGCGCTGGGCCGCGTCCCTGAATAATGCAAGGGGTGGGGTGTGTGTCCTGGTTCTAGTCTTGGTTTGACCCCCAGTGCCTCCTCAAGTGACCAAGTGTGGGCCACGACCACGAATGTGAGAAAAGCTGTGTTATGTGTCGGTTTTCATTTGGTGGTTGAAGGCACCAGAACACAATGGTGTATTTCTGAAATTTGTTTTAATGCAAATTTACATCTGTTCTATGTACACTTAATTATTTATAAGATCACACTAATCACGTTTTAACAGGATTCTTTTGGTGTTTATATAAAACTCTTACAAATTGTAATGATAACTGATACAAAAATAACATAAAACGTGTAGAGGAGGCGAGTGTGACGTATGCCTTAGAATTTTCAAACTGACACATGACGCCCAGTCTTCTACACAATCAACCTGGCATTCGTACGCGACAGTGGATTAGCGGCCGGCTACTACTACTGGTGTTGGAGAAAGGAAGCAAACTATTATGATGCCTTTTACAAGATTTTTAAAAAATTAATCAAATTAACACATAATTGCAGGATAGTACGGAACAAAAGGGATCGTCCAGAAAGTACGTCCGTTTTTCTCGGATTCCTTCGACAAAAAACGGGAGCTCGGCGCCTGCGAGCCTCGGGGTAGGCCACCCTGCAGTACACGCCTGCACTGCAGGCAGGATGTTGCCTACCCAGCAGGCGCCCTTGCCTTGGCTGAACTTGGAAGGTTCGAAACGGCGATTGACGAACGTACTTTCTGGATGATCCCAAAGGTAACATAACTGCTACTCACAGAGATAAAAAGGACTTTCTGAAAAATGAAATAGTAATACTCTGTTACAGTCATCATCTTCTTACATGTGCCATGCGGTTGTCTGGATGAGATTGTGTGCATACTGATTGAAAGCACGGATGAAAGAAAATTTGTGATTGTTGCTGACAAATAGTGAACAGTTTAGCTTGGAGCCAAAAACAAAAATTAGGAGTGGAAAATGTATTTTTTAAATTTTTGAAACATTGTAAGCCATAATTTCTGTTTGCTTGAATTCTGATAATACATGTTGGAAATAATAATAAAAGAATTTTGATTTCCAGTCATATAGCATGACAAATAAGGCTGTAGAAGCATTTTTTTCACTAAATGCAATGCAGGTTGAATTGCTGGTATACATGGTCAACATCAAAGGTAATATGGTTAAATTTTAAAACAGTGTTGGGATAGTAGCTAAAGATAGTCCCCTTGCAGTACTCAAAAGTGATTGTTGCAAATAATGGAGTTCCTAAAATTTTCCAGAGCCATACATTCTCACGGGATATAGCCTTGGGTAAATTTTCATTAACAAAAGTCTGAAGATAATGCAGCTTCCGGCCTTCATGCCAGAAATACACCTTTAAAAGGCACTCATGTTCAGACTTCCAGCGTTTTGATTTCGTCTGAATTCTGATTGACATTGGCTAAATGTAACAATATCAATGTCAGCCTCTCTACCAAAGATGCTAATAAATGATTAACAGAACCACCTTCAAAACGTTTAACTTTGACAACCCAATCAGACACACACTCAGTCACAATTTCAGAAAATTCAAACACCATTTATCCAGGACAATATAGTTTTTCTTTTCAAATATCTCGTATAAAAAAGGATAGGTAAATTTGCACATTTTGACATTTCTAACATACCAGTCTTTCTCGCTTCCACACATACTAGGACGCAGAAGCACACAAAGACCCTTACGCACACACATTCATACACACTTGAGTAACAAATGTACCCGGCGGTGAGCCTCTCGCGTTAAGGCACAGCAACGTCACAGCCGCCCTCTGCGGAGAAAACAAAAGCGACCAGGTACACATTTGTTCTGCCATTCACAACGTCCTCGCGTCACTGAGCATTGAGCTTGGCGCACATCACGTGCAGGGGGTAGTTTACATTGGGAGGGGAAGAGTCTGTCGGGCTGGGCTGCCTACTTTCCAGGCGCAGGCGGCGGCCTCCCTTTGCCGGCCGCGGGCCTGCCGGCGGCGGGGCAGGTGCAGGCGGCTCCCGCCGCCCGCTGCTTGCGTCACATGTCCGCGTCCACGCCCTCGCCCTCGTAGCCCTCGTCGGGGCTCTCGGTGAGGGTGCAGGGCAGGCCGGCCAGGGTGGGCTTGGTGAAGGCCGCCGACGACGACGCCGTCTCCTCGCCGGTCTGCGCCGCCACGCTGCAGCGCACGGGCTGCTGCTGGCAGTGCTGGCTGGCACAGCAAGGCACGCCCAAAGGCACGCCGGCCGACGTGGACGCGGCCGACGGGAAGGGGGACGGGGACGGAAGGGGTGCGTCGCTCTTGTACGCCTGCGGTGGCGACGGCAGGATCGACTCCTCGGGCACGGTGGGCTGCGCGCCGGCCGGGTACAGCGTGGCCCCGGGCGACACGGGCACGGGAGCGGCCGACGTGGGGTAGCCGTCGACCGTGTACCGCACGTCGGGGGGCAAGAAGGGGTCGTACGACGGCGACGGCCTCGGCAGGAACTCGGCGTCGCGCGAGTACCTCCGGACGGCCACCCCGGCGTGCAGCGCCCGCGGTTTGTGCGGCAGTGTGCGGTACATGTTGGGCATGGCCGCAGGGTGCGCGGCGGGGTGCGGCGCGGGGTGCGCCATGGGGTTGGACACGCCCATGGGTTGGCCCATGGGCTGACCCATGGGCTGGTGCACCGACATGCCCGGGTGAGGCAGCGGCAGCTTGGGCAGACCGTAGTCCAGCGGGTAGCCGTCGCCGTCCAAGAAGCGCCCCGCAGATAGGTGCACGTCGGCGGACAGCGGCGTGTGGTACATGTCCACGGGCCCGGCCACCGAGCCGTACGCCGGCCAGACGGACTGCTGCTGCTGCTGCTGCGCCTGCGGCTGCAGCGGCTGTTGCATCGTGCCGGCGGGGACGTCGTCGATGGTGCTGCCCTCCTGGTAGCTGCCCGTCTCCTCGCCGCCATTGAGCCGCCTGTCCTTGCCAACACTCTCCGCGTCATTGATCAGGTCCGGGTTCTGCTCCAGCGGGTAGTCCTGGTAGGCTGCCATGTCGTTGCGGTCGCTGATGAACACGGTGCCGTTCATCTTGACGCCGGCCGAGGCCACGGCCAGCCTCTCGGCGCCCTCCTTCTGCGACGTCTGGCTCTGGTGCAGCGCCACGGCCTTGCCGCTCTCCGCCTTCCGCCGCCGCCGTCGCCGCTTCCGGCACGAGATGATGCAGGCCGTGATGCTGACGCACACGAGCGCGGCCGCGATCACCAGGCCGGCGGCCACGGCCACGAGGTACTCCATCGGGAAGGCGGACGCCTCGGCCTGCGGCTCCTCCCGCACCACCACGCGGATGGTGTAGTTGGCGACCATCTTGCCGGCCTGGTTCTCCGCCTGGCAGACGAACGTGCCGTTATCTTCAGTGTTGGCGTTGAATATGAACAGCTCGCTCTTCTTCTCGACCGTGCCGCCGTCCTCGACAAAGTACAGGAGGCGGACGCCGGGCGCCACCATCGTGTCGTTTTGCAGCACGTTGCCCTGGAAGGTCCAGGACACCTTGGCCTCGGGCGTCGCGTTCACCTTGCACTGCAGCGAGATGTTCTTCCCCTCGGAGATCTCCAGGAAGACGGAGGTCGGGTACACGTCGGGCAGGCAGGCCAGGTCCGACTCGGCCAGGTCGCGGACCGAGCGGCCGCGCAGCCGCGGGGGTCCGCGGCACGTCGGCTCAATGGCGAGCGGCTTCCGGTAGGCGCCGATCCAGCGCCGCAGGTCGACCATGCCGCAGTCGCACTCCCACGGGTTGTTGTGGATGTCCACGCCGTGCAGGGTCTTGGGCAGCACGTTGCCGCCCTGCATGCCGCGCAGCCGGTTGCCGTCCAGCTTGAGCCATTCGAGGCCCTCGAGCCCGGCGAACGCGTCGTCCATGACGGTCTCGATGGCGCAGCCCGTGAGCTCCAGGTTGATGAGGTACGACAGCGGCTGGAAGGCGCGCGCGCCCACCGTCCGGATGGGGTTGCCGCTCAGCGTGAGCCGCATCAGCAGCGGGAAGTCCTTGAAGGCGTGCGACGGCACGGCCGTCAGGTTGTTGTGCGCCAGGTCCAGCTCCACCAGGTTGGTGAGGCCGTGGAAGGCGCGCTCCGCGATGCTGGCCAGCCCGTTGCGCGCCACGTAGATGCGCTGCAGGTTCACGAGCCCAAGCGTCTGGAAGTATAACAAAAACAATTTTAAAGACACAAAAATTTGAAATTTTGCGAAAATTATTTCCATTTTTCAATTTATTCCTGAAAAATTTGAGCAGCTGTGTACCTGGAAGCGCTCGCGTGGCAGCGCGCGGATGCTGTTGCCCGTCAGGTCCAGCACCTGCGTCCCGGCGTCCACGTTCTGCGGCACGTCGTGCAGGTCCTTGGACACGCACAGCGCCGTCTGCTTGCCGTTCTTCCACTTGCACTCGCACGAGGACGGGCAGGCCAGCGAGAGCGACAGGCAGTGCGCCAGCGCCACGGCCAGCAGCCACCGCATGGCTCCCGCCTCCGCCCGGGCCTACCGCCTCAGCCGAGGCCTCAGCCCTCGCGCTTCAGGGGCGGCGCCAGCATGGGCCCAGCACACGGCTCAGCCGCGCCAGCTCAGCCGGCCCCGGACATGGCGAGGACGGGCTCCTCCTGCCCAGGACTCGCCTCGACAGCTAATCGCTTTCCGAACTGCCTCCGGCCCCACTGCTGCTGCTGCTGCTGTTCCGGTCCTCTTTCTTGCGCGTCCCGCAGCCGTCGGGGTGGATGTTTATTTATTGTCTGCCAGTCCACGGCACTGCTGCTGCTGACCACACGGCGCACCCTGCAACACACACAACACACAAAGGGCGTTAGACACAAAAATAAAAACAAAAAATTACGCAGGAAAATAGAGAGGGAGGCAGCGAAAAGAGAAAGGGGAAGGGGGGGGGCGGAAGCAGGGAGGTGTTGTCGTGCCAATTAGGACGCAATCGCACGGCCGTGTTACTGCAGTGTGCCTGCACGAGGATAGGGAGCGGGGCGGCGGAGTTGGGCCGGCGTGGCGAGAGATCTGCAGCAGGAAAAGTGGCGCGCTGGTAGAGGGTCGGGCGGCCGCAGTCAACCTTAAGATTATTCCCGCCGTCAGCGCGCCGTGCCCGTGCAGCCGCCGACCCAGTTAAGATTCCCTCCCTCTGGTCTGCCTTACCGACTCGCGCAGTCTTCCTCCTTCTTTCCCTTGACTTGGCTTTGCTGCCGTTGCTACTGCATCTCATAAAGGCGACAATGTACGCACACGCCTGGCGCGCGGCGCTCGGCAGCCTCGCGATAGGCCGATAGACCAGCGCCGCCCCCGCCGCCCCCGCCGCCCCCGCCGCAGACAGGGGCGGCTGTCCGTCCGCGATGGCGCGGCGCCCCCCGATGCGATCCGGCGCGCTAAGCTGTCCGAGTGCCTGTCTTTACTGCCCATAAAGGCCTCCGCCCGGCGGCCCAGTCCTCTCACTGCAAGCAGCCTCCAGCCTGGCCTGGAGAGGACCAGGAGACTCCAGACCGGCCCAGCCAAACAGGCCCCAGCCTGGCAGCCCAGCCCCCTCTACTGCAAGCAACCAGGCTGAAGAGGAGATGGAGACTCCAGACCGGCCCCGGCCGAACACTCCCCCCTCCCCCCTCCCCCCTCCCGCACCGTGTGTGTTGTCAGGCCGCAGCAGTGCAGTGCGCCCGCCCTATACCGGCTGGCTGGAGTGGCACACGGTGAGTAAAATCACAAAACACAACCGATTAATTGAGGACGGAGACGCCAGGTTTGGTAGGGGGGCACCACTCCAGAAAGTAAATCCGTATCATTCGCCGTTACGAGCCTGCCAAATTTTTAGCAGCCTCTGCAAACTCTCATGAGCGCCTGGTAGGTAGGCAACACATCGACTGCAGGGCATGCGGGTACTGCGGGCTGGCCTACCCCGAGTCTCGCAGGCGCTGACCGACCACCCCTCGGCTAAAAGAACATCTTGGAATTCAAGCAGATTCCTTGAAAACTGCAATGAAAACCAAACAGAGTGCTTGAAATCCAAGATGTCGTGTTTACCGTGTACCGAGCGCGCTGTTATTATTTCTGCTGAGTGACTTTCGCGGTACAGCACAAGCGCCCGGCGAGCAAGCTCGCGGAACGATTGCTTCCCATTACACTGGCGCGTTACTACGGCAGCTTTTGCAACAGCGCACCGGCTGGTGGCGCCAAGCACCCCCTACCCTCACCCCCGCCCACCGCACGCCGCCGCCCTTCGGTTTTACTGTTGTCGTCGTCGTCGACGGACGGCAGCGCTGGCGCGCCGATTTGTGGCCGAGTCTGACGACAGCGACACGGTAACAGAAAGACACCCCCCTCTCCTGGCACCCCCCACGGGCTCGGCAGCGGCGCGGCCACTTGACAAGAACAGCCACCTGTCCAGCTCGACTACTCGGAGCTCGGAATTTTCTTTTTCGCAGACCCCCCCCTCCCTCCCTCCCCCCCTCTCTTCAGCGCGACGTTGGAGCGACCGCGCCGACAGCGCAACACACCCGCCCGGAGCTCCGCTAGCGGCTGGAGGCGGGGCCGGCGGGGTCGGCGCGGCAGGCGTCTCGCTGGGCTAATTAACGGACTGCTATGTCCGGAATTGTGGGAGGCGGGGTGGTAGTGGTGGGGGAGGAGGAGGGGGGAGGCTGTACGCGCGCACGGGCAGGGCACCGACGACTCGCGCGGGTCGGAGCGGGACTCCTGCTGGTCTTGCTGTTGGGATTGTCGAGGAGTAGAGAGCTTTTCGCAGAAGAGGTTCGCCTCCTCCACGTAGCCCCCCCTCCCCTCCCATCCCCTCCAAGAGGTCCGTCCGTCGCCACGCTGGCGGTAGCGTGGTGCGTTCGGGTAGCTAAGACTCTCCACTGTCTGTCCTGCCGGACGAAATGGAGCCCTGCTTCCAGGAAGTCAGACAGCAAGAGCTTCTGGCGAAGTGATACAGGTGAACTGTCAACGGGCTGTCTAAGGAGCAGGAAAGCACATTCGGCCAAAACCACCTGTATACACGGCTTGCTAAAACTTAAGATGCAAATAATTCTTAAATCAGAAGAATTTTTCTGCCCTTCTTTGCCAACAAGTACAATAGCGGAATCGTCCTGCTCTGTCGAATTCGTTTCGGACTCTTGAAACCCAGCAGACTGTTGTGGTCCTGTTGCTTCCCGCCCTGCAGCAGCAGGTCTAAGTGGGACCCTAGCTCAACACTAATGGGGCCGCTCTCGCCCCGTCCGAAGCCGCGCCAGCCGCCGCTGGCCTGCCTGACGGTCTCCCTGACGGCCTCCGGGCCCTCGTCCCGCCCAGCGTGTCTCCCCGTCGTGCTGGTTCGGAATGCAGTCCCTACGTGCCGTGGTGGGGCGGGGCGAGTTGGGGCGGGGCAGGACGCTCGCTGGGTAGCGGCACGAGGCTATCAGAGGGCGTGGCGGCGAGCAGTGGCCCTCGTGGATCCAGCTCCGGACGACAAAGGAAACGAGTAAATAAAAAACCAACGAGGAAAAGTGGCGCGGCGGAATCGCTTTTTCACCGCGCGCCATTCCGCCATTCGCATCCCCCCTCTCCCCGAGGATCGTTCATGTCCGCGTAGGCGCGAGCTATGGGGGATGGACTGCAACTTGTAGAATTAATTGCTTTTGGCGTCTGATTATTTCTTGATAGGCCGCCCCCTTCCCACCACGCTGCTCCTTTCCCTACTGCCTGCTCGCGCCCGAGGGGAGGGAGAGTGAGTGGCGGGGCATTTGTTGATTACTCTCGGGATCAGAACGATGATGAGGCCACGGTCCAACTGATAGATATATTAAACTCTTTCGCACTCTCCCCTTGCCCTGCTGGCCGCGTTCCCCTTTTTTCACCTTATTTATCCTGCTGTGTGCGATCGATTTTCATTAGGGCCGCTGTAGCCCCGGCTGTAGCCGTGTGCCCTTCAATCCAGCCCCCGCTTTGTCCCCGACAAGGCAGGCGGGCAATGAATTGAATGCTGCGAGAGAAACGCATCGAAAGGTGGAAAAAGAGGAACGCGATGAAACAAACGCCCCTCCACCCCTTTATCCCGCTGCTCCTACAGCACTCACCTGGTGGCAAACAACAAAAGAAAGGAGGGGGAGAGACGAAAGTTAATCCGAGAACGAAAGACGAAAAATAATGCCTTGGTGCAATTTTTTGGAGAGCAACTGTAGCTCGTACTGATCAGCACAAACAAGGCTGTATCAACATTTTAAATCAAGAAAACAAAAACAAAACAAAATCTAAATCAAGAATCTATCTTGAAAGCAGATGATACCAATTTAATACTATAGTATACCTGCGTTTTAATATTTCTAGTTTGATTTTTATTTGTGGTGGTTTTGCATCATTTTTTAAATGTTTCACTCGTTTATCGTCTTTGACAGGCATTATTAATAAAGGGGAGGGAGGGGGAAGCGTACCGGGTGTGGCAGTCGCGGCTGTGGGACCCTAGTATTGTTGAGCAGGGGCCTGCCGCGACCGACGCGACACTCGGGCGCTCGGGCACTCACTCACTCACTCACTCACTCGGCCCCCCAGCGCCAAATAAATTGTTTTCTGGTCTGCCCTTATGGTTCTCTGTACTCATCGAGAGTAAAAGCTAGCTGACACCTTAAAGTTACTTATATATTCTTTATGTTTAGTCAAAATGTTTGTAAGGTATCATCTGCTATAAACCAATTAAAGGGCGGAGAGTATCAGGTGGATTCAGAGTTCTCTAAAAGTGAGCTCGATTTTCACGCCAGACGTGATTTTTACGCCCAGCGTGATGAAAGTCGGTTCCTGATTGGCTGCGTGAGTGAAGCTTACGGAGCGTGAAAATCACGCCTGGCGTGAGAATCACGCTTTCATTTCGTGAACTCAGTATCCACACTTACGTAGCGCATAACATTTTTTTATCGTTTGCTACTTTATTTGTAAAAGTAGAGTGGTATGTGTTACAATTTTCTTCCTTTGCTCCCCCTTTTCCCGAGTACTGGGTGTGCGACGCCCTAGCGCGGGCTTAGGCGCGACGGGCACTGCATCGCCGGGACAATCCCCGTCGCAGGAGAAGGGTGAAATAAATGCCACTACACCACGGGAGGGCTATACGACCGAGACGCTTGAGGTCCCGGAGACTAGCTTGGAAGAGGAGGGGAGGAGGGGTTGAAGCACCGGGCAGTTTGTTTACTCTTATCCGTGATTCGTCTCTCTCGCGGCCCCAGCGCTGCAGGCTGCAGCACCCGACTTAACCTCCAGCAACAAGGGGTAAGGGGCAGCGAGGGCCTGTCCTGTCCGGTATCTCAGCGACGAGAGAGGGGGAGAGAGAGAGAGAAAGGGAGAGAAAGAGAGGCAGAGAGGGGGAGAGAGAGAGAAAGAGAGAAAGAGAGAGACAGACAGAGAGTAGGAACTAGCTTTTGGCCTTGGCCAAGAGAACGAAGTCGCCTCTCTCGCAGTCGCAGTACAGTAGTGCGCACGGTAGTGGGTCACAACCTCCTCCTCCCAAAGTCTCCAGCAGGAGGTCTCTAAGGCCACTCTCTGCACCCTCTGCCTCACCCCTTCCCACGTGACACAGCCCCGCCCCGCTACGCACCGGGCCGCCACGCTAGCCGGCCCACCCGGCCCCGTCGGCCCGTCCCCGCGCAGCTTATAATGAAGTCTTCAATAAGTAATGGTCCTTCTAAATTGGTCTCCGAAATGAGCTTGCGTGCGCGATGCGCCCAGATGGCGCCCTGCTCCTCCTCCTGCCCGCCCTGTCCTGGCGCGGTGATAGACGGTGGAGGCCAAGTTGAGGAGTGGCGGGGCGGGCGACCCCCTCCGCCCTC